CCCAATATTACTAAGGTTTTATTTCTTTCTTTCAAGGCATTTATTTATACCCAGAAAATTCACCTATATAACGAAGTCCTTAATGCTCAATCTTCATTTAGATAGGTCTCAAGGGTACCTCAGGTTCTTTACTCCTCAGATACTTCTTTCCTTTAATGGAGTCCCTAGTCTCCATTAATGGCCCAAGGATCTTCTCAATTGTAAAGCAGAAATGTGGAATCACACTAACTCTTCCTTTTCCTTCACTATCTCTAATCAGTTATTCTGCCTTCTAAAAATCTCTCAAACACACCCACTTCTCTGTTTCTCCACTGCCAAGAACCCAAGTGAGGCCACCACCATCTAGTATTATTAAAGCCTCCGAAACAACCACTCTGGCTCCAGCACTGCCTATCTAGTCTACGCCTAACAACACTGGAAAATGGAAATTTGATAGTACTACATTTTGTTTAAAACTCTTCTCTTGCCTTTAGGATAATATCTAAGCTTAAGCTCTAGAACACTCTGCCTCTTCTTCTTCGCTTGCTAATTCTTCTTCATTCTTCAGATCTCAGCTTAAAATTCAGTTCTTTGGGGAAATCTCCACTAACTCCCATTAGATTAAAGTGTTTCTACTACATACTTCCCCTAATCATGTATTCATTCATTTGCCCAAGAAATGTTTACTGAATACCTACTATGTATTGGGTATTGAGCTAAGTATTGACAATTAAATGGTATCATGATTCCTGCCCTCAAAGAAGTTACAATATAGAGACAGAGATATCGGGTAGATAACTATCCTTATAAATACATAATCACCGGCTTTATAATATAAGAGGCACTGTGAAGACAGTAAAATGTGCACAGGAAAGAGCTTGCTAACTTTGAGAAATTGAAAGATCAATATGGCTAGAGAGCAGTGAGTGAAGAGAAGGGTATCATTCATTTACTGTTGTTTCATGATCTGTCTTCCTATAAAACTGTAACTGAGTTAGATCACCTTAGCACAGAATAGACTAACAGGAGACGCTTAAGACGTTTTCTTTCAAGGAATGAATGGCTAAATGAACACATGCAAAGGCTTGATTTTTTTAAACCTAAGTGGAAACTGTATGTAATTTCATATTGTGCTCCTTAAAACTTAATAACATGTAATACGTCCTTTCCATAGAATCATGCTTTTACTTATTTATTTATTCATTTTTGTGACAGGGTCTCACTCTATCACCCAGGCTGGAATGCAGTGGCATGCTCACAGCTCATTACAGCTTCAACCTCCTGGGCTGAGGTGATCCTCCCACCTCAGCCTCCCTAATAGCTGGGACTATAGACGTGTGCCACCATGCCTGGCCAATTTTTGTATTTTTTGTAGAGACAGGGTTTTGATGTTCTGGTCATTTGATGTTCTCTGAAACCCAGAGACATGTCAGTCTGCCAATGCTAGGAGTTTTAGTGCCAAAAATATAAAAGGAAAACTATTCTTCATCTTTTTGGGGTATGGTTTTGTCAACCTGAAGTAATCGAAAGGATCAGAATCCAGTTTAAAAGAGTTTATTCATATGAAAGACTAGGAATGGCCATCCAGGAAACACAGACTCCAGAGAAATGGAGTCAGCACTCTGAAGTTAAAAGTTAAGGTCTTGCATATAGGAAGAAAACAAAGAAATTTAACAGGATCACAACATTTTCTACACAAGGCTGATTTATGAGTTATAACAATTTAGTTACAGTTTGTTTTCTTTTCCCTACGGCTTGTTTTCTTTACAGCTGGTTTTCATTTCCTTTCTGATTTAAGAGTATATTTAATATTCCATCTTAAGACAATGTGATAGTCATGAAGTCTTTGTATGAGAAAGGTTAAGAGGGAAATTAATCTATAAGGAAAATCAACAGAGAAGAGGGAAGGAACCTTCCCTGA